CTTTATTAATTATGGCGCTGGATCATATTCTGGCATTCTCGCTGCACTCGCCGCGCGCTTAGTCCCGCTGTGCTGGTCTTCACCGCCTCGACTTCGTCAAATTCACGACGCTGATCCATGCCCCCAGTTTATTAGTTAGTAAATCGTACTTTCGCTTCTTCTTGGTCTCGATTGCTGTTAATCTGTCCTGACTAGTGATGCCAACCTCAATCAGGATTACTTCACGTCGCTTCTTATCGTGTATCATAATATCCAGTCGATCCTCCTTTATTCTGATTGTAGTTTTCGCTCGCATATCGACTCTGAGCTCAACGTTCTCATTCGCGACGATCTCCTGAACACATGGATTCCACGAGGACAAAGCGAGAAGGATCAGTACAACAAATCTGAGCGCGGGACAAGTACTGCTAGAGTGCCGGAATGCGGTTTAGCGCCAGAACCAATAAAGCAAAAATTAAAACTAACCTGCACATTTTAAATATATATATATATGATTTGCATTTTTTCGAACAAACGTTGGCTTTTATGCTATTAAAGTTGTTAAAGAGTAACGTTTTATATATTTGCAAATTTCATCTATGTGGTTAAAAAATAAAGCATTATCATTTTTTTTCAGAAATATTCGTTACAACTTTACTCCAATGGTTGGAAACAAATCCACATTCTGTGCTCGTTCTATTACTTATGAGCACTGTCACGAGTGGCCTAGAGCTTAGTCAACTGTCTTTCAGCTTTCAAGTTATCGAGAAATGCATTGCAACTTATTTTGAAAGTACTTCGTTTTGAACACTATTTGCTAGAATGATTTCATTTGAATTCAATAGCTTACATTCTTTACTCAGCTATATAATGTAGAAGATTATTATCATTGTCCATAATATATATGTTAAGTGCGTTTTGAAAACTTAGAAAATTGCTGATGTAGAGGAAAAATCTAATCACGAAAATTTTTTTATCGTATTGCTCTCAGTAAAGTATTGGTTTCAGGAACTGGTCCTTGCGACTGGAGCGTTGTACTGGAATGGGTGGTATTACCAGATCCCTGTTGGCAACATCTTTTCGTTGTTCCCAGGTTCCTAAAGATTTCATGTTTAGTTAGTTTAGTGTGAATTAAATATCGAAAGATTTTGGGATTACTAGTTTTCTCGGGATACATGTGGTTATGCATTAGTCGTAGTGAAAGCAAATAAGTAATAGGGCATCATTAGAAGTATTTATGAGCTTTCAAAAAGGTGCTCTTACAAAACTTAATTGATTGCTGACTAAATTTTTTTTTTACTTGTTGAGTTAAATATGATTAATTTGACTATATCGTTGGTAAAGAGACATACTTCGTTGTGTAACCCATTTATTAACGATCTCATGACATTTCATACTTTCTGTTTCTAAATGAAGTGGGTATGCAGCAATTTTTAGTAATGTAAGTGAGTGCAAATTCATTACGTGTTCCTTATTGAACACTTATGGCATATTCATTCGCTGATAGCTTTTAGTTCTGAGAAATCGATACCCTTTCTGCCGTTGTGTGCAAATGTATTAATAACAAGGCATTCCTTATCCTCAACAGCAGGGAGACAATCAGAGACCACTGTGGTATCGGAACTTTCATTGCTGCAGATGTTGTTGGATTTTGTGACAACCATAAAACCAAGGTATCATTAGTGTGCAGGTGTAATTTGTAACGATTAATGAACACCAGGGAAGTCTTAAATTTATTTCTTTTAATCACTGCAGCACTTGGTATTTATTTGTACCATTGTTTCAGTAAGCTAAATAAAATATAAACAAAGCTTTGAGAAAATAACTAAAAAATTTTATTGGAAATGATAGCATTTCTTGACGAAAGTGTAGATGATACTGCATTTAGATATGTGACCAATGAAGCAGCATTTTTACTTTTGGTAGAAAAGTTACAAAATATGCTACTACGTCAGTATGATCATTCTGTTACGCTTGGTAATCAGTTTTTAATGCAGTACATGGAGTGGCTTGAAAAAGTATATAGTGACGACAAATCGAGTTCCATATTTTCGATGATCGGTTTTTCCCGAAAACAGCCCTATTCGCTCAAGTTCGTGCATTATTGCTTGTAATATCTTCTCATATTATGTTGGATATCTTCTTTTTTATAGACTCTCATGCTTGAAAACAATCATCAGACGTAATTCCAAGAATTTTCAATTTTCTTTCATTTCTTAGTTTTTTTTCACATCAAACTTTTTTCAACTTAAAGTTGAAAAGATACTGATAAGAATTCACTAAACAATACTTGCTTTAAAACTAAATAGACTAGCTGAACCTTTATCAAGTTTTATTGCAGAATGCGTTACATATGCCATTTGATGAATTTATATATTTCTCAGCAAATGGTAGCCTCAGATCAACCTCCGCGAAGTAGTTCTGACTTGCCAGTGCTAAACAGTCAAATCCAGGCATTCCACGAATTGAGTGTTTCTAAACAGTATGCTCCGTTCACGACCCTCTCTGAGTTTGCTCATTCTTATTTTAGTCAGGTAGAAAAATATCATATTATGCATGTGAAAGAATTGTTTGGGCACATTATTCGATCACTATACAATGAAAAATATCTATGTACTACAAGTTCTGTTATGTAGCTTTCTAACTCGTGGTTTTATATTTTGACGATCCATTACATGCTTTTTTATTATATTATGCGTTGCCCATCTAAATTATTTTATCACTTTACTCGAAAGCATTTGTTCTTCTAGTACTTCTTAATTATTCAGTAGCCTTCAGAAAAATTTCTTCAGCGCTCCGCGCATGTAAACTTTTCCAAATCATGTTTCGAAAATATTTCATTCACTTAATAAGTTTTGTCATATTCTTCCAGATTATGCTGTTTTAAACTTTTTTCGATCTTAGCAGTTTGCTTTTGTGATCTGTCTGAGTGTACTGGTGGTATTATTGTAAGTCAGAGCAGGTACATCCACATCATCGAAATACATCATGACGATTTGTAAAATGACATTAACTCTACTTTTTTGTTCTTTTGTTTGCTTTAAATCTTATATACTTATGGGTAATGCATCCGGTCAATGAATCTTTCAGTTATTCTCGTTGTGAAGTCGTTTAATCTTGTAGTTATGTATAGAAGTAAAAAACGATGAATGAAATCTCCCATTTTGCAAGGATAAGAAACTGTTTATTTGAAAATATGCCTCTCTTTTTCTTTTTTTTTAATTTTCATTATTTTAATTAGAGCACCTTAATTAGTTTCGAATTTGTACGTATTATGTAGTCGGTTCCAATTTTTCATTCTTTTTGCGTATAGTTTTGATGAGTCGTGTTTGTCCAGGCACTACTTGTGGTCGAAGAATCTAGGAAATTCATAATTGTGTTTGTAGATGTATTAATAGTGAAAAGTCTAGATATCAAGATATTGAAATTGCAGCACTCTGTTCGAAAAGTTTGGTTGTGTATCACAAAACAAAAATTCATTGTACATAACCAAGGAAGTGGAACCTGAAATGAGCAAACAAGATTTTCGTCCACAATCATGCTCGCAGCTGCATTATCAAACTGTCCGCAATAATGGGGAGCGGAAAACACTGTTACTAGGCGGCGGTTACCGAAAAATTCGTATCCATCTTGGACGACCTTGAGTTACAATTTCCGTTTATTTGTGTATTGCAGGAGAGTCTATCAATTTATTTAGATGTGAGTGGTCACAAATTTTGTTTTCAAAACATTTCTGCAGACGAAGTCGCAGATAATGGGTAGCCATATTTACGGTAAGTTGAGTATCGGCATGGAAAAATTTCACATGTTACAATTTTGATGAATACTAAAAGAAGTGGATGTCAACTTTCTGGGTTTCTATAATTCAAGTGGTTCCTTACTTGATGAGCTCGAGCGACCATGTCGATATCCAATTTTTTGCAAATATCAATAACTACATCTTCACCAAAACCATATGAAGCACCACGTAAATTGGGTTCGAAACCTTGAATACCTACAACTGGGTCTGCCCAGAGTAGATCCATTTCTAACGATGGACTAGTCGGTTCTAACGGACGTGGCAGATTGCGTAACTTCAATATCGTTCACCGTTCTTGGTTAAGACGTTAAAATATTGGGTTCCCTAGTTTCTTTTATTAAATACTGATTTCTGATGTCAACTTTCACACGTCCAAGGTTTTCAGTATTCATTGTAAACTACATTGACAGAAAGCTAATATTTAAAATCTTCATTTTTTACATTTTCATCTAGAATTAGTGCTTTCGTAGTGGGGAAATTCTAGTTAATAGAAAACTGCCATCAGAAGAATCTGTCATCGCTTGAAAGACTTCCTTGTTTGAAATTAAGTGTTTAATTAATCAGTTCAGCTAACCTGATTGAAATCTTTCAGCTGAGGTGATAGACCTCCATGCATGCACAATATCCGATTGCCTACGCATCCACATAAAGGCATGACAGCAAATACATCCTAAACTACATATATTTTCAAATTTATTGGTGCTAACAGAAGTGCTTGTTTTCTGCATTATCTCATTTCTAACTTTAGATGGAGGGCACATTCCTGTAATGTTAGATATTATGCATATATATTTTGCTTTTGTGACCAGCGTTACATTAGACCTGAAACTGTTGCCATAGACGGGTTGAGTTGTAACGTCGCATGCATTCATCATAAAAACCGTAAACTCGGTTAACTGTATTACATTCGTGATTACCTCGAAGTAAGAAGAAATTGTTTGGATATTTAACTTTGTAGCAAAACAAAAGACATATCACTTCCTGAAAATGGAGCATCATTTATATGAGATATTGTTACGATTGGAAGGATGTCCTTCACTTCATCTATTTTATGATCTACAAAGATCAGTTTGCTACAGTCAAATAAAGATGATTAACGATCGCAATTGGTCCTTTAAAAATTACTGAAGTCTTATAATTCCTTCCCTTATTCAGCAGCTAAATTTTTTTATCCCATTACACCAATGGAAGTATTGAATTGGAAAATGCCTAAATTCTGCTCTCAGCGATAATTTTGTTCAATTTTTGCCTCTAATTATCATCAGTTTCATTCAAGTCATCGTTAACTTTAATCAGATAGAAATTACGCTTTAATCAGATGAAGTAAAACGGTAAAGAAGTGCTTTCAACAAATTCATCCAGATTTTAAAGCAAAAAGAAAGGTTACAGACAAGATTCTGTGGGCCACGATCTATATAATCACCGAGAAAGAGGTAATTTGACTGGGGTGGAAAGCCACCGCGATGAAATAGTCGCAGTAAATCACCATATTGTCCATGAGTATCTCCGCAAATCCTTACCGGTGGTTCAATCTCGATAAATGAGGATTGGCTCAAAAATGTCTATAAAATATTTAATATTGCAATGCCAGTTTGGCTAGTTTGGTTGAATAAGTATCAATTTGTAATTTAGTCAGTTAACAAAGAATCTAAAAAATTTTTCGGTATCCGGTTCCTTTATTAAATATAACATATCTTTTATATTGCTTACGGCTTTGTGCAGTTTTCTGGAACATTTAAAAGTTATTTTAAGAGTTGTACTGAATTTTTTCCTTAGTAATTACTATTTCAGCACTCAATTACCTCTCGAGCTTTCATGCATAAGGCAAGTAGTTCTTCTTCTCGTACATTTTTACTCAATCCTCCACCTTCTTTGCCAACTGATAACACCCGACATAACAAATCATCTACTTTCATCTTCATTTCTTCATTCAAGGTGTTATTAACGTGTGAGCTAAGAAGACTAAGCTAAGAAGTCATATACTCACAGCTTTAACTTTATTATCATTTTATTCAAATTATTTATTTATTCATAATGTGATCAGTAGAGCATTATGCAAAATTTTGCAAAATAAACATGGTAAATTATTCATTTCTTTTAAAATAAATAATTAATATTACTTTTTCATGCGTGAATGTATTTTGTGCTTGTATACAACAAATATGAATGAATTGTTGCAGAGCAGTAATTATTAATTTGAGAAAAAAATCTCCGAATAAGTCATTTTAATGATCAGTCTAAAGATTTATCATTTTCACTTTAATTTTCATGTTTAAAATGCAATTTTAATTATTCTTTGTTTGCTTTCCTTCATGTTTGACTTGATTAATTTAACTTCAAAAAATTTAAACAGTTAAAATCACTTTATATAAATGACACAAGAGAATATGATATTCAACTTTAATAAAATTTTAAGTATAGTGTTTTACTACAGTAATCATTGTCGTTGAATTATGAAGAACACGTTTGTGATTCTGAACCTAATGATGTAAATACAGAAGAAAATGGAAATTTTTTTTCAATTGCATGAAAAAAGTTGAAAAAATTTTCAATTAAAACTTGAACTATAAATATGCAATCAAACCATATAACACTATACCATTTTAATGACGGGCAAAAGAGTAGATTTTATTACAGTTAACTTCAACCATAACATATTTTAACAAAGTATGATGTAGTTTTGAGTGGTAAATAAAACATCACGTAAAAAGTATATTTTTAATAATTTTAAGAGGCGAAGTTTGTATTCGATCTGAGATAGTGTCCAAAATAAATTGCATTTTAAAAATAATTAATTAATATATGGTAATGGAATTTGAAAGGAATGATAAGTTACTTGAAGAAAAATAATAAAAAATCTTGTTCTCATAGTCTTAAGACAATTATTAGAAGTTAAAAAAGAAATGCAAATTTCTCAATAAACTGAAATTGTAGTTAACATATGAATTTGTGCATATCCTTGCATACATGCATAAATCTTAGTTGAGATTGTTGTTGAAATGGTTATTTCATGATATTATTCCTGAAAAATTATGATTATTTTCATTGCGACGAAAATTCTTAATGATGTAATTTGGATTCTAATATTTTTATTTCTTCTATTTGATAAAAATATTATCTTAAATACTATCGGCAAGTTTCAGTATTATAATCATATTTATTAGAAGTAATCTTTAGAAGTAAGTATTATCGTTTTTATAATTTTGGTTGCAATTTTTTACTGAAAATAACTCACTTAATATATGTAATAAATATTAAACTTTAGTAGACTTACCAGTGGATAGTATCCAAATATTTTTTTATTTACCAAAACGAACAAACGTTTGCGATCTTTTACCAAATCGAACAAATGTTTGCCCCCGTTTATTAGCAAATTGTAATTCAGGACGGGCATTAGCACCCCCGATTCCGTTTTTTGCGCCTATATTAGCAGTAAATGAATGTAGGCAAAGCACCAAATTGAATCGAAGATAAAAAATTTTTATTTGAAATATGAAGTGATTAATTTTTGTTTGCAAAAACATAGCAATAAATTAATTATTTTCAAGCAACCTTAAACGTTTTTATTAAATTTGAAATTTTCATTGAATATGAAACTTTTTTCTTAACATTTGCTTTGCATATTTTTGTTCTATTTTTACCTTTTTAAAAATGTTATTGCTTGTCAGCTTAATCTATTGCTACAGTTTTTAAATTCATCAACATGCAAAAATATTGCAATTACCAGCAGCTGAAGTTTAAATTTTGATACTAAATAAAGCAAACTTTTGTGTGAAACTTCTGAGCACATTACTGAAATATAATGGGTGAGTACTGAATAAAAAAATTATATACATATTGTTCAGAAATATTTTTGTGAGGAAATGTGTTTGCTCATGTCACTGCACGTTAATTATATAAGTAAAATGAATATGCTGTTAAATATATGTTTAGTTTACTTTTACTACAAATATGATCCACCACTAAACTATTTCAAGCTGTATTATCGTTAAGAAGCAAATGAATACATTTACCTGCTAAACTGCTCTCAATGTAATCACGATATCGGTCTGCATATTTTCTTTGCAGTAGATCATCTAACATTTCTCGCTGTGTTTCTTCTACAAAAGTAAAAATTGAAATTTTCAAAAAATATATTTTCATTTCTCATAAATGAAAATAAGTAGAATTGATTGTTGTTCAAAGCAAATGTTACTGCAGTAGTATTTACTTTTAGATTATATTTTTTCCTTTTCCTGCTAATTGAACAAATCTTCTTCAGTGTCACATTCTTGTAATGAAAAATTGCTCACTAAAATATGTTACGTCCGAAAAACTATTTTGAAAAAAATTTATGGGAAAACTTATAATTTCAGTGACAATTTTTAGGGAATTTGTTTTAAATTACTGAATGCTCTATAAAAATTGCTAACCATCAACAGGTATCACAATGCTACGTGGATTGTAAACATTTGCATCCGTCGTTGAAATCAGTGCCACTGCAAGCAGTACAACGGCTATGAGACAAAGCGCTGTAGATGCCATCTTAAAATATTTTATTTACCAGTTGTCCAATCTAGTAAAGATAGAAAGATTTAAAGCTCGTAACAATTATATTTTTTCAATTTGAAAATATTTGCATGTTATGTTCGCAGGCAAAAAACAAATACGTAAAATTCAGTCCCAAATGATGTCGTAGTAAGGTGAAATATAATAAAACAAAACTTGCAAGTTTTTTTTGACATACACGTTACTTTTCAAAGCGTGAGTACCATTATACTCCTACCTTTTAAAATCACGTAATTTGAAGCAAAATATAGATTTTAATTAGTACAACTTTGTGCATAGCAAATTTATTGGACTTAAAGATACTTGAGAAAAATAGTCAGAAAATATGATAGCTATTCATCAACGAACTAATTTTCCCATCATTTTTGTCAGCAATAATCTGCAGTATTTTTATCGCAGGAAAAAAACCCCGTGTATGTACTATTTTTCCTTCTTTTTTCAAATTTATTTCTATTAATATTATTTACACAGACACAAATATGTCTTTGCCTACTTAATGTTTCTAGAAATTTTCAATAATGATATAGTAATTAAAATTTATTTGACTATAGCTTATCGGATTAACGGGTAGTTATAAAATTAACAAATCACATAAATGATCTTTCACTCTCACTTAACAGCCAATGATATATTATTCTTTAATTTGTAGAAGTAGCTTCAAATCTTCAATTCCTTAAAATATAAAAAATGAAACCCATTAACAATGTCATATATTATTAAGCATTAAGAATATTTATGATTCTTACTTCATGAAAAAATAATGTTGGATCCTGGTATATTAAATTAAAAAATATTTTTTCTTAGTGCAAGAAAGTGAAAAGTTTTAATTGGGGATTAAGATTACTGTCATTTGGATTTTTGTTTATTAGATGAGCAAGTGTTTACTTTTAATGATGCTAACAAATGATGACTAAATATTTTTGGTTTCCAATTCCAAGATAAAACTCAAATATTGCAGTGTCTCTGAGGAACAAATTTACTTTTTGGAGTCAACGACTTATTGTACTCTTTGCATAATTTCATTGGATAATTTTTAACACTTCTGTCATTTCTACTTCACTAAGCTTAATGTTATATTTATCATACAAAAATATTACATTTGTACCACAAGTAAAATGCTCAAAAGTAAGAAAAAACACCGACAATTTATTTCAAACATGAATTCAGTAATGTTTGACACAAATTACCATATAATATAAACTGTAAAATCTCCAATAACATAAAATTTAATTATTTTGCTCGTCCAAAAAATAAAGATAAGAATTATTAGACAAAGTTATGACAACAATTTACTGAATGAAACATCACTGTGATAGGAATTGAAACTATTATTTTTTAAGTACATGATGAAAATAGAATGATTAAAAAAATCCTAAATTAACAGTTTTAAACCAAAACTTGAAGAGTAGGTTTAAGCGGAATTTTATAAAGAAATCATTACTGAGTTGCTGATCTAATTTCTTATATTGTTGGAGATAAAAAGATAAAAAAACTAAAAATTAATAGTTATGATTATAATCCTAAAAATTATTGGTTAAAAAAATCATTAGCAAAAGGCAAGCAGCAGAAATAGTAGCTGTAAAGACGAAATAAAGTAGCAATTTCAATTTTATCTCGGATAAAATTGAAATGGATGAAAAAGTACTTAATTTGCATCCAACATACGCAGCAATAATCTCTATTGCAAAAATTTTTACTTCATTTCTGTTTGACTACTCAAATTAAAAAAATAATGAATGACAATTTGCTTACCTTTTAAAGTTATAATCATCAAAAAATCATATTCGAGATGCAAAATTTTGCTCACATTAATACATGCAAATTTTCTAATACAGTATGAAAAGTTTGGATGAATTATAAATACTACTCAAAATAAAAAATAAACAAACATTGAAAATATATATTGAGACTTGACATCGAGATTTAAAAATGAGCAATGCAGTTACAGCTGTCAAGACAGACTCATGGAGTGAACAAACCAGGATATCATGCATAACTTTGACATTTATACTTTCTCTATTTTTTGAATAATAAATTAGGGAAAAGTAGTGACTACAAATAAAACTGCTGCTGCAAAAAAACAATTTAAGGTGGTAAACTTTTCAGCATACTTGAAAGTAATACTTAACTTTCATCTCAAAAACTAAGCATTTAAATAGAAAATTGTTGTCACAGTTTGGCCTATCATTCTAAGCAACAAATATTGTCTAGACCAAATTTATAAAATTTTGCTGAACTTTCTGTAAGTTAATTAAATATTTAAAAATTTATCTTTCAATAGCAGCAAGTATGGCAAGTGTAGCATTATTATTAAAATAAATAACAACTGTAACAATAGTATTAGTAATTTTCATTCAAATTTTTACATTGTAAATTGACAATATTTAAGATACTATTTAGTCATTTTACTTCAGTAAAGTTTAAATTTGCAAGAGTACACTATACTATGAAAGCTTTGACACTTGATATTCAGATAGAATTGGAAAAAAATAAAAGAAAATATTTTGCGAATGCAAGTCAGCATTTATTTTCCCACGCTTCCGCAAATTTTTCATATCATCGTAAACATTCACATTTATTCAATTTGCTTATTTTCTCCAAAAATATTTTAAAACGGAAATAACATAAAATGAAACAGTGAAATTACACATCTCATATTAAAGTGTTCCCAATAAAATCTGCTATTTCTTGCTTAGTTAATTGCAGTGCAGGTGTGCGGTATATCACAACTTTTTGATTACTCACAATTATGTATTTCTGATTAAAGCAGTCAAGTAATCATTTTCTTTACATTTGCCTAAGATAGAAACTTTCTTAGGACTACATTTCAGTTAACAACTATCATGAATTATATATTAAAGGTTAACAAGTATATCATTTGAGAATCAATCATTTGTTTGTAATAAAAGCAAAAGCTGTAAATTAGTGTTGGAAAATGTGTAAATTATTATCATATGCAAATCACTCTTAGAAATAACTAAATTATCATTAAAATAAGTTAGATAGCATTAAATAATATAAATGTATTTCTTAGAAAGCAGACTAATTTGTGGTTGAATTTAACAAATAAAGATTATATTAGTTAAGAATAAGAAGGTTCTGAACAAAGATCAGTAATGAAAGAGTCAAAAAAATAAAGCAAATGTCTTGCGTTTTCATGAAATACTCAGTCTAAATTATTTGTTTTCAGAAAACAGAACTTCTAAAGTAATTTAATAGCAAAATATTCTTTACTAAAAATTTTTTAAATATAGCTGTCTACTTATGTATGACTCTAACATTTTTTATAGTATTTAATAATGTTTTATGTTTAAAGATTTATTTATAAAGGTAGTCCAAGAGAACAAATTTTCAAAATAGCATGTAAGCAAGCATAAGTGCGCAGTTACTGCAATACCTTTGAATACTACCATTATTTCATATAACCCAAAATAAATTTAAGTGAGGGAAACCAGGCAAAAACGTCAGTTAGGAGAAGTTTTTAGAAGGAATCATTTGTATGATTTATCAGTGTTTGATTATAGTTTTGGAGACTTTCTTGACTTTTTCAGAAAAATTTGTTTAAAGATTTATTTTTATTTATTAATAAAATGCTTTTTAAAACTCAACAATAAAAATTTCAGTATTATAAGAAAAAATGCTCATAAAATGAACGAAAATTATCCTCAGTTATCAGAAGTCGTCAATCAGGAGGCCTTTTCGAAAATAGACTTTTGAATGTGAAATTTTATTATTTTGAAATTTTTATCACAGGCTTGAAAATGAACAACTAGGGAACACGATTTCCGTGTTATAAAGTCATTCTGGGCAAGATGTTTATAATAAATTAGTAAAAAGTAAAACATCAGAAAACGCTTTTGGCAATAATTGATCACAGCAAAAATAAAACAGAATTATTACTATACTCCTACTTAGTATGGAAATTAAAAACCTGAACTTAATTCAAAAATATAACTTAAATCATTTGACAGAGCTA